CTTCCCTTACCAATGTAGCTAGAAGCACTGTGAACAAGAGGTGGATGGGACAAGGGCCCATGTAGCTCAAGCCCTACATGAAAACTGGCTAATCTGATTAGGGGGAATTAAGTGAGGGAGAGGGACAGGCTTAAGAAAATAAAACATGACTGCTAAATTTAGATTGGTAAGGAAAGGTGTCAAGTGGGAGTCAGATGTGTAAATCTGGTCAAAGGAGTGGTCAGGGCAGGGAAGTACAGGCTGTCAGGCTATCCAAGGAGCTGCACTAACTGGGTTCTGAGCACCAACACTCAGAGGTCCAGCAGAAGTGGAAAGGTCAGTAAGGAAGTCCAAAAAGAAGCCAATAGGATAGAATAAAAACCAGCCAAGGGCCATAGGGTCATAGCAGAAAAAGCAGTCAATGACACCAAAAGCTTCCACAAAGACAGCAAAGTGAGACAACTTGTGATATGGAGGGGACTCTGCCAAGAGCAATTTCAGTTGGTGGTAACTAAAGATGAGGTAGGTGATGATGAGGACATAGTGACTACCACAACTCCAGACGGTTCATTGAGAAGGGTATCAGGAAAATGGGGCAGCAGTTAGAATGGTACTGGGGCTGAGGGATGGATTTTGACTTTTCAAATGGGAGATGTTTATATACAGACATAATCATCTTTTGAAAAGAGAAATTGACGGCATAGAAGATTGGAGATACTTGAAAGCAAAAAGGAGTTAGGATCCAGCTCACAGGTGGAGGGGAGCCTCAGAAGCAGCTTTCTGCAGGTGAAGACATGGGCAGTGAGCATATGTGACTGCAGACATAAGAAGGCAGTCAAGGTTGACGACTCTGTGGACCTAACCCAGAATGGCTGGACTCTCTCCCCAGTGAAAATCAGTATGCCATGAGCAGGTACAAATGAGACCACCATAGCCATAGCCTCGAGCCCAAGTTATAGCATTTTTCTAAGTACAACAAACTGTTTGAGTTCATTCTGTCTTCTGAGCGGCCTGGGGTCAACAAACAGGGAACAGGCTTAAGAGGAAGCTACAGGGAACACAAGAAGACAGTGTTCTATGACTTGTGAATTCAGTCACGATTTCAATTTAGAATATAAACAACTTCTGGGGAGAAACTCTTATCTCATAAGGTCCTAAGGCCATTAGCTAATTTAATCTCACTCTATGGACTAGGCCTTTGTTAAGCTTGGGCTGACAGTACCTGAAAAACATTTGCTATATGAAATTAATCATGTGTGTAGGAAAAGAATTTGGCCTTCCCCTAAGAGAGGGCCTTTGTAGCATGCTCTGAGAAAGAAATCTCTAAACTTCTAGAAAGTGCTGAGTGATGGAAGTGTCTTTCTTACCTGTGGCAGGTCTGTTCAGCCACATGACATTGGTCTAACCTCCAGGGAAGGGGCAGCTGGAGACCAAATGATCAATTGATTTTACACTAACTATGAGCATTAAGCTCATGTGAGTGGCCCCGGCAGGCAATGCTCCACTGTACACCATCACATATTAATGCCAGGAAGATAACACAGCTAAATACAGGGATGCTCTGTGTTACCTTCCTCTGGCTTAGTTTTGCCTGTATCCTCTCTCAACAATACAGTGTAACTGTGAGTGCCATAGCTCTCAGTGAGTGCCTTAGTTCTCAGTGAGCTCTGTGAGTTCTTCCAGTAAACTGTGGATCTTGAGGTGGTATAGGATCCCTTGAACTTCCACTTGATGTCAACAGTGAAGACAGTCCCACCTGAGAGCATTACTGCTGGACTGTAATCCCAGCTCCTCAGGAGGCTGAGGCAGGAGGATTATAAATCAGAGGCCAGTATGGGCAACTTACCAAGTCCATCTCAAAACAAAAAGTAACAAAGGCTGAGGAGATAGCTCAGAGAGAGAGGTCCTGTGGGTTTACTCCCCAGTATCAGAAAAAAAGAAAGACAAGTGGAGGCAATGCTATGAAGAATAGCACTCTCAGACTGTAGTTCAGCTAATTTCAGGTGTCATGTAACCTTAGACTAAAAGGATCTTGAAATCATCTCATTCAACTCCATTTCATAAGTAAGGGAACACAGGTCTGGAGAACAGAAATATCTTGTCCAAGGTTACAAAATGTTAGGGCAGAGGATAGAATAGCCCTTAAGTATGCTGACCCCAGCATGCTCTGTTTTCTATGACTCCCTGTATAGTATTTGAATGTGAAGTTGAGCAGAGAAAACTTTCTGTGGGAGCTGGTATATTTAGGGAAATTTATTCCTTGCTATATTTGTTGCCTGGACTTTAACAGATCATATATTTTGATTAAAAATGTTTAATTTTCAATATTTAGGATATGCAAAACAATGGTTACTATAGCTTGAATATGGTTTGAGTATGTCCCCTCAGGGTTCACCTCTATGATGAGGTATTCAGAGGGTGGAAATTTACTTTTACTTTGCAGTTAGGAGATAGCAATTGGGATGGGATCAGGCTGTCAGGATGAAGACCCAGGACTGATTGCTCGCAGCTACATAAATATAGATCAGAAGATGCAGGAACATACGTATATTCCACTTCCCTTGCTCCATGACGCTCTGCTCCACCTTGAGACTTTCCTAGCAAGGCCACAACCATATGCTGCCCCTCAACCTTGGACCTCCAGGACTGTGAGCTTCTGAGGTAGTAGCCTACCTCAGATATTCATTTTAACAAGGAGCTGATTTAGGGGCTTGTACTAGAGAGCTTGCTGTTGGGTGAGTTATCTCTTTGCTATGGACATTTTGTGCTTTCTGGAAAGTTTTCTGCTTCTGATGTAACTCATAGTCCTGACTATATTTTCTATAGGAAGTTGCTTCACTCTGCTATGTGGAACTTGCAGGTATGAAGAGCCAACTCTACGTCACTACTCTAGAGCAAGGACAAGCAATAATCTGTCACTCATCCTCTAGAAAAGGGACAAGTCATATTCTGGTTAACAGGTTACTTCTAATTATCCACTGAAGTATATTGTGGGCTAAAAGATGGGACTATGTTCAAATATCTTTACTGTGTCACATTTACCAAATTATAAAATCTAACCACAGGTCTGATTTTTTAACAATGAAAATCTTTCTCTTCTTTCCTCCTTCCCCTTCCCCACCCTTTGGTGGTAAAGACTGAACTCAGGGCCTTGTGTATTCTAAGCACAAATACAAAATCTACAAGTATTCTACACCCCGTAGAGCCCAACCTCAGGGACACATTCTTATATTGGTCAGAGGACAGAGCTATGCAAGTCAACTAAAGTGATGCAATGCTCACAAGGGCTAATACAGAACAACATTCTGCTGCACAAGACTTCTCTCAACTTGGGAACCTGGAAAGAGGCAGATTTCTATCTATTGATCCAGAAGTTCTACTTCTCAAGCATCAGTGATGATGGACATACTGCATTCTACTCAAAGACATTTTCGGAGTACATGAGATTTTATTTTATTTTCTATGTATTTAGTATAGGGTCTATAGCGTCTCACTACACAGATTGGACTCATAGTAATCCTCCTGTTTTCAGCCTCCCAAGTGCTGGGATTACAGGTGCGTGCCACCATGCCCAGTCTCAATCACTGTCTCAACGCAGCCCAGGGGCAGGGCTGGCAGGGCAGATTGGGGATCAAACCCCAGTCCCTGCATCTTCCTAAACAGGTGCTTTAATCTGCTGAGCTATCTGGCCGGCCTCTACACACCAGATTTTAGATGTTGCATCTCATAAGATAGGTGGAGAAACAGATCCAGAGAGGGAAGTGACGTACCAATTGTTACACATTTTATTTTAGTCAATCTTGGAAGAAACTATGTCTTAAGCTTTATGTTTCTAGGTTTCTAAAAACAATATAAATATGGACTAAGATACCAATATTCCCTGTCTTGATTATTCAGCTTCATTATTATGACTATCAACAGTACCTCTATGCTATGATTCTGTCACCATCTAAAGTCTAGCGCCCAGCATTGTTGGAAGTTGACTTTTGAAGGAAAGATTTCTGAGAGAATTCTTTTTTACAAATGAAAAACATGAATTCCAAAAAGAGTTCATGACCCCTCCATCCCATTATATAGCTATTTAGAGAAAAGACTAGACTGGGACTCCTTTCTTTTTCATTATTCTAAATTCTTACCACTTCATTATACAAAAGTCCAGTGGAAGGAAGAGCTTCAGGATGTTTTTGAAAACTGAGATACCTCCGTGTTGGGACATTTACTCCATACTCTCTCTCCCTTATTCTGGCCCATTCTAGGCCTATAAGCCTCCAGGGTGGCTTTCCCAATCAACCTGCAACTAGGACAGTCACTGGGACATGACTAGCCCCAAGTTATGCACCACATCAACTATTAGGTGCACTTGGGAGGCTGAAAACAGGAGTATCACTACAAGACTGATCTGTGTAGTTAGACCTTGTACTAAATACATAAAAAATAAAATAAGATAAAAATCTCATGTGCTCTGAGAATATCTTGAAGTGGAATGCAGTATGTCCATCATCACTGATGCTTGGGAAGTAGAACTTCTGGGTCTACTTCTTGGGAAGTAGAAAGATGTCTCCTCTCCCTTAGGAAGAAAATCAGAGTTTTAATTTGAGTTTTCCCTGTGACTCCCAGAATGAAGGATCTGATTCTCTCATTTTCACAGATCACCAGATTTCTCAAAAAGACTCTTCCTTTATACATACGTTGTGAATGGCTGGTAAGTACTCTGACCCAGCCCTTCCTCAGAGACCTCTCAGCTTAAAAATGTAGAGCCCCTGGAGATTCCATTTCTGAAAAGGTACTCTGGTATTCTATCTCTGCACAGTTCTACAGCTGCCCTGCAGCTTCTGGGAGAAGGCAGTGAGGATGGGAGATACCCATGCCTCCAGAGGGACAGAAGGGACAGCAGGAAGAGGGAGAAGAAGCTCCTCACGTCCCATCCAGGCATATGTGCATTTGACCTCTACACATCCTAGAGCCTCCAGCATGTACTGCCATGGTTCTTGGCTCTTCTGTGTCTCTCTGAAGCTGCTTACCTGTGGCTGCTGGGTGGTCAATGGTCTCTGAGGTGACAGGACTGGAGTCCTAGACAGCAACTGGTTCATCTTGCTGATGACCAGCTCGGTGATGAGCTGTCTGTCCTCTGCTTGATGTTCTCCAATCAGTGGCATGCTACAGTCCATGACCTGGTAGAAGATGCAGCCCAAATGAGGAAAAGGGCGCTGGTGAGATGGCTCAGTGGTCTAAAGCACCTACTTAGAACAAGCTTATCTAAAGCACCAGGGACTGTGGTTCAATCCCCCAGCACCACATGCCAGCCAGCCCTGCCCCCTGGTGGGCTGAGCTGGCCACACACACACACACACACACAAATAAATAAAATTTTAAAAAAATTGCTGCCAAATGAGGAAAGGGTCTGGAAACATAAGAGATCTGGGATGGTCTTTCCAATTGGGTGAAGCTTAAGCCAGCAAAGACAGATAGGTGATGAAGCAGGTGATGCTATCTGCAGCTGGAAATAATTTCCTCAGAAGAAATTGGACCTTTAAGGGCTGGCTAAATAGTTCGGTGGACTAAAGCACCTGCTAAGGCAGAGCATAGCAGCCAGGTTTGATCCCTGGTGCACCATGCTAGCACCACCCCCGGGGCATGCTGAGACAGTGATTGAGACTGGACTGCACATTTTGGTGCACACCTGAAGTCCCAGCACTTGGGAGGCTAAACACAGGAGGATCACTACGAGTCCAATCTGTGTAGTGAGACCCTGTAGGTCCTGTACCCTGTAGACCCTGTACTAAATACATTTTAAAAAAGAAAGAAATTGGACCTTTGGCTCCTATTCCTGTAAACCTTGGTCTCAGGCTCCATCCCTTTGCCTCCACGCAGGCCAGGGCTCAGTGAGGTGGAGACTACTGGCTGAAGACAGCGGGAAGTGGCAGAGAGCAAGAAAGGGTACAGACTAGGGCTCAAAGTAGCAGTCAGAGGGACAGGAATACAGGAAGGGCATCCCCTTCATTCTCTGATGGATGGCAGGCCATTTTCATCCCTGTGACTTCAACTGACACTGTCTCTGTCTCCCTAGAATACTCTCATCATTGAATGACTTGGCTCTTGCTTTTATTCCTGACCTAGGTGACCTACTGCATTTGCCACTAATCCTTTTTTTCCCTATGTTTCGAGGTCCAGATCAATAATTTTCTCCATTAGGAAATGACTACCTTGGGCTCAAACTCTAATTTATGGAGGAAAAACCTGAGACCCATCTGGAGTGGAGAGGTATGGCCATCCAAAAGGTCACAGAGCAGATTCAGAATCTAAACCCACCTTAGACTCTTCGTATTAGTACTCTGGAAATACTGCCAACTCCTGGCAAGGAGGCCTACTAGCTTCCAGGAAGACTAGGCAGCAGTCTGTGTGAAGAATTTACACAGCTGCAGGCTTTCCCTCTAACACAGGAAAAAAGAGTCAGCCAAGTCGTGAGAGAATCAGGCTGAGGAATGTGTCTCCAAGGCTCACAGATGCTGAGAAGAATCTTCTGCATTCAGGTGTCCTAGTTGAGACACTGATTTATCCTATGGCCTTAAGCACATACTCAAGGCATTAGGTCTCCATTTTCTCACCTGTAAAGGAGCAGGTTGGACCAGCAGACCTGAAGACAGCTCTCTCAAAGAACAAATGTGAGAATTCCAACACATTTGAAGAGGAATACAGTGGGCTAGGACCCCAGGAACCCAGATCTGGAATCTAGTGCCTATAGCCTGGGTCAGCTGAGCAGGCTAAAATAGCACCTCTTCCCACTGGTCAAGGTATCTTGCTATGTCAATCTACCATCTGGGGCCTTCCCATAACTTGGAAAACTCTAACCTAAATGCTATCTGGGCTGCCCACATAGTTTTCCAGACAAGAGTGTGGCCTGAAGCTCTGAGTGCTATTTCTTACTGAAATACTTTATGGATCAGACTTACCTCAAAAATGTAGTCTTTCCCATCTTTGCCATGTACAGCTTTAACAGCACAGATGTCAAGGCCACCAAACATCTCAGAGCACGTGTCTACCCACAGCTTGTACCTGGCAGGGATGGAAAAATGTCCTGAGGTGAGGGTATTACCTTATTGTGGGTATGCTTGCTGATCGGGCTCTCTTGTTGCCTTCACCTTTCCCATTGCCCATCTCTGGTCCCCCAACACCCATCCAACATGATCCCTTATTTACAATATCTTCTCTTTCTGTTTTCCCCATTCTACCCATCTTTTCAAGCCTAAAGTAGGCCTCACCTCCCCGAGAGGCCTTCCTTGGCTATCCCAGCCCATGCTAACTACTACTCCTTTCTCGGGGCTGCTATGGTAGGCACAGTCTTTATCTCTATATCTGAGCATGCAGCTGGGTCCTGCCCAGTTTGGTTAACAGGCTGCCAAAGCCTGTTGTCTTCTGTTTCCTTTCTGCTCGAGGTTGCCTTTGGGCAGGCTCATTTCTTACCCTTCCTCCTCATGGCAGCCACCCTCTCACTGGAGCTCAGACTCCTCCCACTCACCTGTCTGACATGGCAATCTGCTCTAGCATTGCAGAGCCAGTGTTCGTCTTCCAGTTCCCTGAGATCGATGTCCTCCTGCAACAAGGGTTGCCAAGGATAGGAAAGGCCATGAGCCACACCAGCAAGAGGAAGACATGCAGCCTTTGAGAATTGAGCTCATTGACTCTTGCACTAAATAAGCATGCTGGAGAGCTGTCTGTTGAGCCTCACTGCTTCTCCCAACACCCACTTGTGAAGCCCTCCTCTTTGTACTCGGGTCTAGTTTAGGAGGGTCTGGCTCCATGGAGCTTTCCTAATCTTCAACCAGATGAACTCTTGATCCTCTTAGAACTTCTAACTAATTTTATTTGTACCTCAGTGACAACCTTATCTATACTTTTTACTTTGGTTATCAGAGCTGAGTCTTAAACCAAGACTGCCCACAGCTATGGAAAACACCTGAGGTACACATTGTATCTCCTACTTCTAGTGGTCTACCTGTTCAGCATCTAGGACCACTCAGTCTGTGCAAACCAACCCCCCCACCCCAATCATCCTGGGAACCTCTGCAGTGTCCTGTGGATATCATCCAGTGTCTTCCTTACTGGCCCATTCATTTAGTCATTCAACAGGCCACTTCTGGGGCCACTACTAGATTAACAGAGTGATCTGGGTGGTCAATAAACCTTTCTGGCTGGCTCATCTATCATGTACAGCTGACAGCCACCAGCCTCTGCTGTGTTTACTGCACCTTCCAGCCATGAACACACTCTATATCAATTAGTTTAGGCCTAAATAGGAGTCAGATGATTGGGTTTTTGGTTCTGGATTTTCTCTTAACAGTCAAGCTGACCACAAGAGAGTTACTTCACCTCGTTGAACTGCTCTTACCTATAAACTCAAGGTTATAGACTGGTGCTCAGGGATCAACTGGTACAGGTTTAAGTAAACTGTAAGCACTAAGAACTTATTTCTTAAATTCTTAGTCTTTACCCAGATGCAGTCAAGAGGAAAGGAATGGTCTAGGGGACAGAGACCTCTATGTACTGTTGCTATCATTAGCACTGTTGGGACAGTATTTGGAGAGGCTGTACCAGTTTGCAAGAGGCTCCTCCCTAAAGAGCTGACTCCAGACACAGAGAAACTATAAACTGGCCCAGTTTTCTCAAGCCCTGAGGCAGCCTTATGAGGCCAATAATGGTGACAATGAATCTCATACTGGAACTAAGGTTTGCAAGGAGCCTCCTCCACCTTAAAGGAGCCTCCTAACAAACTCCTGCCATGAAAGGCTGGATTTCAGGCTTGCTTTAATGACAAGCAGAGGAAGATACAAAAAATATAGGTGACTGTCCAACACTGCACCTAGTTGAAGCAGATATAGATATAAACCAAAGAACCTTGGTTTGCTTGGCATGATGATCTTTTCCTACACCCAAACAAATAGCTGAATGGTTTGCAAACCTGAGAAGAAACACAGAGAGAAAAGCCATGATAAAAATAACTGTTTTCCTAACATTGGTTTTAAAATACAGTAGGTCCTTGTGACCATTCTCAAGTCACTCACTTCATCATACCCAGCACAGAACTATGAAACCCAATAGAGATTCAAAAACTAGTGAAGGGCTGGGAGGTAGCTCAGCGGAAAAAGTGCTTGCCTGGCAAGTGCAAGGTCCTAAGTTTGATCCCTGGTACCACTGAAAAGCTAGTGCAAATAATGTCTCCTATATTGGTACGGTCCCCTGAGACCCCACATCCTTCTTTAACAACAGAACACAAGGCCAGCTCCACACAAACTCCCTGGAGTGTGGAAGCAGAAGGATGCTGAGGGGCTAGCTATTTACTAACAATTCAACTGCCTCTGAACTGGCAGGCCACATGACCTCTGTGGATAGACCTGTTATGCTCTGTGAGCGAGAGGACAGGACCAACATTCTTCCCAACAAAATAGCTGCCCTAATCTCCAGGGTGAGTGCTGGGGGGAAGGAAAGGAATCCTGAACCTCATCTGACAGCTGCTAAGTCAATTCCTTCAGAGAGCAGAGATAGCCACAAGTCCGGGGGGAGGTGAGATGGAGAGAGGCAGAGAGGGTCTAAACATTCTCTTGTATCAATGCTGGTACTGCGCAAATAAAAACAAGTCAATGTCCTCTAAAGCTTCTCTAGTTGCCCACTTCCATCAACATATGATACTTTTGTGAAATTCTATGCCTTAAAAATGTGGTGGCTCAGGAGGTCCACTATCACCACTCCTATTCAGCATAGTTCTGGAAACATGAGCCAGAGAAATTAGGCAAGAGAGAGAAATAAAAGGAATAAAGATAGGAAAGTAAGAAGTGAAATTATCATTATTTGCAGATGACATAATATGCCACATAGAAGACCCCAGAAATTACACCAAAAAAAGTCTAGATTTAATAACCAAAATGAGCAGTGTAGTAGAATACAAAGCCTACACTAAAAAATCAACAGCATTCTTGTACAAAAACAACAAACTCACTAAGTGAGAAATTAGGCAAACCACGCTCTCCACAATAGCATCCAAAAAAACCCAAAGTACTTAGGAGTCAATCTAACAAAGGAAGTAAAAGATCTATACAGTGAAAATTACAGCACTGTGAGAAAGATTCCAAAAACTGGAAAGATATTCCTGTTTATGGATCGGAAAAACCAACATTGTGAAATGACTATACTCCCAAAACTATTATTCAGATTTGATGCCTCTCCAACCAGAATACCATTAATGTTCCTCACAGATCTAGAGAAAACATTCCTAAAATTCATCTGGAACCTGAAGAGAACTAGAATAGCAAAAGCAATCCTGAGCAACAAAGGCAAAGCATTAAGTATCACAATCACTGACTTGAAATTATACTACAAAGCTACTGTGATAAAATTAGTATGGTAGTGGCCAAAAACAGACCCAAGAATCAGTGGTATAGATTAGAAGATGCAGACACAGCTACAAACACATTCAACCACCTTATGTTTGACAAAGGGGCCAAACATGTGCAGTGGACAAAGATGGTCTCTTTAATAAATGATGCTGGAAAAACTGGCTTTCCACATGCCAAAAACTAAAACTAGACCACAGCTATCACCATGCATTAAATTAAAGTCAAAATGGATCAAAGATCTAAATATTAAAACACAAATATTAAACCTACGAGAAGAGAAAGGTAAAAATCTTGAAGACATAGAGGTAGAGAGTACATAAACAAAAATCAAACTGTACAAGAAATACTTCAAAGAATAAACAATTGGGATTTCATCTTATTGAAAAGAAATCATCAACAGAGTAAAAAGAAAACAAACAAATTGGGAAAAAAATTTAGCCAACTGTCCCTCAGACAAAGAACTTCTATCTAGAACATATAAAGAATTTTTAAAAAATTCATACCCCCAAAATTCAAAGACCCAATTAAAAAATAGGCATCTCAGGTGAATAGACACTTTACAGATGAAGAAATATGAATAGCAAATAAATATATGAAAAAGTGTTCAACATAATCGGTCCTTTGAAGCAACACTGAGATTCCATCTCACCTCAGAAAGAATGGCTATCTATCATCAAGAAGTCAATCAATAACAAGTGGTGGTGAGGTTATGGGGAAAGAATAGACTGGTATAGCCACTGTGGAAATCAGTGTGAAGATTCCTCAGAAAACTAGGATTGGAGGTCCAATTTGACCTAGCTATTTCTCATCTAGGTATTTTTCCAGAAGAATTGAAAACCACACCACAGCGATATATGTGCACCCATGTTTATAGCAGCACAATTTGTCATAGCTAAGTCTTAGAAACAACCTAAATGCCCATCAACTGAGGAATGGATAAAAAAGATGTGGTATTTTTCTACAATGGAGTACTACTCAGCTATAAAGAAGGATAAACTTGAGGTTTTTATTGGTAAATGAATTCAACCAGAGACCATAATCATAAGTGAAATAAAACAAACCTGCATGTGTAAACATCATACTGTCTCCTTTGTATAAAAAACTGAAAGAGTAAATAAGATTCAAAAGGTACAGTAGATATTTTTTTAAAAATATTTATTTATTTTGTGTGTGTGTGGCCAGCTCAGCCCACCAGGGGGCGGGGCTGGCTGGCATGTGGCGCTGGGGGATTGAACTGTGGTCCCTGTGCTTTGCTTAGCTTAGCTTGTTCTAAGTAGGTGCTTTAGACCACTGAGCCATCTCACCAACCCCGGTATAGTAGATATTGGTAAAGGGAAAGAAACTGCTCAAAGGGAAAGAACAACTAGGATGGGAAAGGAGAAAATGAATTAAGAAGAAAGAGAGAGAAAAAAAAATATATATATATATATATATATATATATATATATATATATACTCAAGATAGCTAAAATAATTGTGCTACTAATTTCTATTGGTTTATTGAAAGGAACAGTTAATGCCTAATTGTCTGATCAGTCTTGTATGCCTATATCTGGTAATCTGAACAACTACTTTGAAGATAACAATATGCAATGCAACAACCATTGTTAATTTCCTATTGTCTTGTTTTGAAAAAAAATGTAGGGGCCAGGGAGATGGCTCAGTGGAATAAGCACTTCCCTGGCAAGCGCAAGGGCCTGAGTTCAATCCCCAGTTCTGAAAAAAAAAAAAAGAAAGAAAGAAAAAAATATGGTGTTTCTTTTTAAGGATCAAAATACTCTCGTTCTACCATTGTCACCAATAAATGTTATTTCTTTTCTTCATTCATTCATTCATTCATTCATTCATTCATTCATGTTTGTGATACTAGGGGTAGTACCCCAGGCTTCATACATACTAGAAAAGAGCTCTACCACTGAACTTTCACATCTTAGAAGACAGAATATATATTTTCCTAGATATCTGAAAATATCTACTTTTCTGCTTTTTTTGCTAGTCTTTAGAAAGGTCTTTAAGCTATTCTACATTATATTGTGCCTATTTCTTAAGCAACCCTATAATACTCTTTGAAGCAGGAAGACTATAAACAAAAAAATCACAAACTTTTTAAAAGTAGAAGTCTAATCAATAAATGTGAAAAAAAAAACCCAAAAAACCTCCCTCTGTATTAGGAGTGTAGTGCAGTGGTGGAGTAGTAGAGAATGTACTTAGCTGATGTGAGGCCTGGGTTCAATCTTCATTATCAAACCAAACCAAATGAAACCAAACTTAAGCAGCTCTGTGCCTCAGTATTCTGCAAGGGCTCTTCCCCGAGTGCTTATGGTATGTACTGTGTGCCTGATGCTATACAAGAAATGGGCTACAGAGGTGACTCCATCCTCTCATCTAAGAGGAGCTGTGGGAGGACTGTGAGACACAACAGCAGTGTGTGAGGTACAGGAAGGAGAGTAAGGAAGCAGCCCCTAACAGATTCTAGGGCTGGGGGAAGACACTGTGAGGAAGGATGAAGGCATGACAAGGCAGACAAGTGGGAAGGGGAAGGGAGCTTCTGCCCTGATGTCTGCTGAAGTCCTGGGCCGCAAAGATCAAATTCATATTAACATTATTCTTTGTAAGGCAAATACCATCTTAAATGTTTTTTAAAATAGGAGATTAGTATTTTCAAATTTGGAAGTATAAAGCACTTGCATTCCTGTGTATATTATGGAAGGTTAGGTAGTCTTGAAATCTTCTGTATTTCTAATGAGGAAATAGTTTAATTTTCCATTCTACTAAATGGACCCCATCTATTCTTATGACCACTAGGACTTAATGCTCTGTAGCATTTTCAGGGCTAGATATGTGTAAGTTATATATATATATATATATATATATATATATTTTTGGCACGCTGGTAAAACATATAGGCTCCTTTTAATATATAAAACATAAGATGTGTAATATAAAGTAGACAGCCTCACAAAGGTACCCAATTATTAGAGTTATCAAAAATACCTAATAAATCTGACTAGTCAATTTATGTTTCTCTAAATAACAAGATATAGTGCTAGGGCCAATGATTATCATGATTTTAAAATAGTGATGATAGTGATGGTAATTAGAGTTACCTGTCAGAGCTGTAGGATAACATAAGAGTATTTATGACTATCTTTAGTGAGTACGGCTACTCCTATAGCTTCTATTCATAACTGAAGAGAATGCTAAATTTCACATAGGCTAGTGAAAATGAATATTAATTTTATTTCTCATCTTAGTTCATAGATCATCCCCCCACCTATGATTTTAAAAGAAACTGGGTTAAGAATCCCTTCTCTGTTACCTGCCTGCTAGAACAAATGAGGTTAGGTTACCCTGAGGGTTGGCTGCTGAAGAGAAATGGGGTATATCTGCCAGGACCCCCACCTACTCACATGTAAGCCTTGTAGTTGTTGCCAATCTTCTGGACTCTAATGTCATACTTAGCATCAATGAAGGGCTCTGCTGTGGCATAGGTCTGGGTGAGGGCTACCACACTAGCAATGTCCTGGAAGTCATAGTGATTTTCCACTTTGACCTAAAATTGGAATAAGGCAGAGAGGGAGAAGGGGGTTATATACATATGTAAGCTGAGAAGTCACAAGGGTCTAGAGCTCCAAAGGCATCACAGTATTTCCAATCCAGGCATAAACATAGGTGTCATATCTCCCCCCGGGGGCCCCTAGCTTCCCTTCCCAGGCTTCAAGGGTCACACTCAGGGGACACGCTTCCTGCAAAGGACCCAAAAAATCAATTAGGTGAACTGCACTTTGCTTGCTGAAAGAGGCTCAGAAGCACTAGTGGCTTCAAAAAGGCCATATCATCTTCTTGGGAAGAATTCAGGGCAGAGGAAGATGAGAAGTCCACAGATGGGCTTTCTGAAAGAAGCCCAGAGCACTGCAGGCCCCTCTGCCTTACCTTGCCCATACCCGAGTGAGCGTGGCCAATCTTCACCACCACAGGGAATGTGGGCAGTGTCAGCTGAGAGCAGAGAAAAGGACAAACTGGTTAGCATGTGCCTGTCTTTGTAGAACCCTTCAAATGCTTTCCTTGGGAGCACCTTTTAGAGGGCTCTTCAAGCAAGCAGCCTGCTCTACAAAAGAGTGAATCCATAGAACGCCAGTGACTTCTCCAACAGCAAATACATGTAGCATGTTAGAGGAACAGCAGTAAGAATCCTGTTCTCCTGTTCAGTGCTTTCCACATTTCATTATTTCAACATGCTCTGTATTAGACAAACCCTGGACAGAAGTGGCTCTCAGCTAAAGATAATCTTTTAAATGTACCTTTGAAAGACTAAATTTAACTGTATTTAACTGTAAGTAAATCGAACCTTAATAAGCCTAAAGGGTTTTTTAATTCTTTTTTTTTTTCCAGTGCTGGGGATAGAACATAGTACCTCATACATGCTAGGCAAAGGCTCTACCGCTGGGCCACACCTGAACCCTTGAATGCATCTTTAGCCTCTTAATGTCCCTGGTACCCTGTACCTCTTAGTACCTTCCCCCTTCCACAGCTAGCTCCTGCTCTGATCTGCTGTCCTTTTCCTCTCTGACATCTTATCTGACCACCAGCACCACAAACCCAACCAAACACAGCTTAGTATGCAAGGCCTACTGCTGCCCTCCTTGGGGTCTAGCAGAGAGCTAATGTAAGAACTCAACAGGTTTATCCTTGGAAAAAGACTCTCATGAAAAGTAAACTGCATCTGGAAGTAGTCCTATTTTGACAGAGAAACAATAAAAATAGAATTGTCCTCCAAAGACAGGATCTCCAACTGTAATTAAAGGCAGGGGGAAGAAAGAACATGGTGCAGGAGGAAGAGCACCACAGCAGACACCAGACTTCTTGTATACGCCACCACTCACTTCCTGCACATCCCTTTACATCACTGAGCTTTGGCTTCCCTATCTGTTAAATGAGATTGGACACCTGCAAGTAACACAACTCTGTCTTGGGGTAGACACTGCCCAAAGGGCTACACTGGACACAGACTTGGAATTATCCTTTCTCAGCCTGCCTCAGCTTGCTTTTAATTTCCTTCTCTTAAAACATCACTAGTACCATCCAAGTGAAAAGCTGCCCTCTGAGGGAAAATAACGCTGATGAAAAGTCAGATTTTGATGGAACCTGGGTGTGACCAGACACTGGGAGTGTTTGAACTAAGGATGTCAGCATTCCTGGATGAGTTGCAGCTGGTGAAGCAGGTAGGAGCTGTTCAAAGGGCTTTAGAAATCATGTTGGAGTACAGCCTAGTTGTAGAGCACTTGCTTAGCTTATGCTAGGTCCTGGGTTTGATTCCAAGCATAGGGAGAGATATAGGCTCATGTAGTCTGATATTATATGAAGGGGAAAAAAAAAGAGGCCGAAGGAGACAAAGGTCACAAAGCAATCTACTGGCAACCTGAAGTGGAGCTCAGCTTCCTACTTTCCAGTGTATCCCTGGAGGACTATCCTGTCAGCAGTGGACATGGCCTGGGTCACAGTGACCCTACTGCCTTGATTCCTTGGCTGCTCTACCTCTATATGGTGACAGTCTCCAGTGGGCAAAGACATGAAGGATGAGTATGGCCCAGGGCCTACACACAAGGCTTTGAGGCTCAAAGTTTGCCCTAAGTGATGGGACACCCATGTTCTAAGAGCACTGCCCCAGCTATCGGAGAGTCTAAGGCCTGGCTCTGAGAAAGCGTTTCTAAATCACTGGCTGCTTTGACATCTCTCCCCACCCCACCCCCCAGCCAACAGAGCCAAGACACACACACCCCAACTTTCTCTGCCCCATTCCCTTACTGTTTGCTGTTGCTCTGGAGCCTCATAAATAGGGCATTGAAAACACTTCCTGCAGCTGAAAGAAGCCCTGAGTAGCTTGTCTCATTCCCAGTATGCAGCGCAGCAAGGGGTCCGTTCTCTGTCACTGTCTCTTTTGCCTGTTGTAATTCTGTCTGCCTCTCTCTGACTCTGCCTGTCTCCCTCTCTGCCTATGCCTCCGCTCACTCGTTTCTGCTGCCTGAAGCACAGCCCCTGGCTTGGTCTTTCTGTTCTCTGCATTTGGCTTTGTTGCTCTTTCTGTTTTTCTGGCCCACACCAGTACCGTTCCTTCTCTCACAGCCTTCCTTCTACTTCAGGCCCTGTGACAAGGCTGATGGGGTCTGTGGACTAGGGCCTTGGGACTTGCAGCCGCAGGTGGCCTCAAGCCAAAGGAGGGCGGAGAACATAGGGCGGGACTGGCCACAGGGACGACCTCATAAAGCCTGGCCAGGAGCACAGCACTGTCTGGAGGAGTCCTGGAAGGGCACTTCCCCCACAGACCTTGCACGCCCTGAAGGGGCTCTCCTTTGGCGTCATGCGCCGGAACCCTCCTGCAGCTCCGAGCTTGGCACTGGTTCTACGCTTGCTGGCTTTGCTGAGACCCTCTGGGCTGGGCGAGGCATGCAGCTGTGCCCCTGCGCACCCACAGCTACACATCTGCCGTTCTGCACTGGGTAAGTCCAAGGTCAAGGTCCACTGGAAGGGCAGGAGTGGAATGGAGGTGGAGGTAGATTGGAGTGGGGTGCGGGTGGGATGGATGGGTGATGGAGTGGGGGCAGCTGCAGACTAGGAGTCTGGAGAAGAGAGAGGAGCTCAAGTCTCACACCCATTGCCTCCCACTGAGGCTGACATGGGGGGTGTCATAGGGATCTGACTGGTCTGTAAGGAAGTGAGACTGTGTCAGAGGTTTCCATAGCGACTCTTCCCCCAGGTCATATGGCAGCTGGGGCACATCCTCCAACAGCTGTCACCAGAGGTTCAGTCATTACTACTGGACTGGGTTGGCCTGGAGGAAGAGAGAGTGATTGGCTATAACAGCTCTCTGTCCAGCCCAAGAACCGAGGTTGCCACTGTGCCCTAACCCATACCTTTTGCCCTTTTTACCCTTCACCTGGAAGTGTCTTCTTCAAGTTCCTAAACTCAGCCTTCAAGGCCCAAATCATGTCCTCTCTCCTCTGAAGCTTTCTAACTCCTTGGTGTCACACAGCATCTCTAACATCTCTAGTCCCACTGTGCTGTACTAGTGTCCCTCACACATGTGTCTTCACTAGATCAAGAGCTCTGCCACACTGGGACTCTGTCTTGTGGATGTCTGTGGCTTCATGCCTAGTGCCAGACTTTCATAGGCAGTTTCCAATAGATGACAACACAGAAGAGATGGGTGTTCTCAGTACAGGGTTAGATGTTCATTCTTGAATGCAATCAACGTTACTACCATCAGCTCTGGGTGGGCTCTGAGGCCTAAGAGAGCATCAACAGATGAGCCTAGGCCTGTGCTTTCAGTTGAGGCTCCTCCTCCCTCCAGTCGCTGGGTACCTATCCTGCCACCCACTGGGCTCTGAATGAGCAGGTTCAGGTGAACAGAGGAGCACAGGGGGAAGGACTTTGGGCATTATGGGGCAATTATCTCAAGTCTCCACTCACAGATACCTCGCACTGCTCATACCCCACCAATGCCTATACGTGAGCTCCCTGTGACATTCTCCAGGGACCCCTAAACATCTGGCTCACAGGTAGACTGTGCCCACAAGGGCTGAAGGTCCTGTCTTTTCCTCTGCAGTGATCCGGGCCAAAATCTCCAGTGAGAAGGTAGTTCCTGCCACTGCAGACCCTGCTGACACTCAAAAAATGATCCGGTATGAAATCAAACAGATAAAGGTACATGGGGGACAGGACAGGGTGTTTCCCCACTTTGGGCCCCTGGGGGAGATGGAATGTATGCTTAGGAGGGACCAACCAGTCTGATCCGCTGCAGCAGTCTGTCTAGGAGTTCCCGGTATGGAGATACTGAGTGGAATGGGGTGATGTTGTGGGCAGATACTACAGACACAGGCAATAGTGCAGGTCCCATTAGTCCCATAGCTGAGTGTGTGTGAGCCACTGGAGTACCTTTCCCATGGGAATAAATCAAGGTTTAAATTTCTACTTTTTTTTAGGTGGGGTCATTCATGTTTATTAATTCCTGAACTAGATTCTTGTCTAATATTTTTAGACTGAGAAATGAGAAGGTTTTACATGTTAATACACAAATGACACTCACTGCTTTTTGTAATTGACTTTCAGATGTTTAAAGGGTTTGAGAAAGTCAAGGATGTTCAGTATATCTACACACCTTTTGACTCTTCTCTTTGTGGAGTGAAACTAGAAGTTAACAGCCACAGACAGTATCTTCTGACTGGTAAGGTAGAGACCAGGAACTGGCCTTGATGGAAAGTCATGACAGTGTCAAGAGGAACCTTGATGGCTTCCTTTTTGATATAGGAGTCGTCATAGAGCTCATGGCCTCCACTTCATTATTTCAAGGACCAGTGATTCTCCAGTTCAAAATAGTTCTAATTGGTACAGGATTTTTGGTGTCTTGAGCCAAAATCTGCCTCCTAAAACTGATCCTTATAGATTCATCTCTGCCCTTTGCCAAGACCCAGATAAGATCCTTGGGTCTCAAGCTGTTCTTTCATGACTAAGCCCATGCCTTCAGTTGAGGCTCCTCCTCCCTCCAGTCCCTGGGTGCCACCCACTGGGCTCTGAATGAGCAGGTTCAGGTGGCCAGATGAGCACACCTGAAGGTTAGCCTTCTCCATGTTAAATGACTACATAATCAATGAATATAACAGTAAACTAGTTTGAAATTCATGGAATTGTAACTGAAAAATTATGGAAGCTTTACTGTGGAAGTGGAATCTAATTTGGCTCTAATAGAAGGAGAATATTTAGAAGGAAAGCAAATAAAATAAAGAGCACAGCATGTGGGGAGAACAGGTGGATGAATTCTGCTATCTATCCATCCATTGAACAATGAATTACCACCTACTGGATACTGCCAGGCTTTGGGCAGGAAAGGGCACGTACAGGAATAAGGCATAGTCCTCAGCAGTCACAGACTACGTGAGGCATCCAGGGGGATGGGCTCCCTAGCTCCAAGGATGTAAACTTGTGCTGCCCTGAGGTAGAGAGGCAGAGACAGAGCTCCTGGTTCCCAGGACTGGCTCACCAGACCTTTGTACTCTCTCATATCTACCTTATTCAAAAGCATCTCACCTGCACAGGCCCTGGGGAGCCTATGCCCAGCCCTCTGTTAGGACTTGGGTGCCAGGAGCTCCATAAGCAAACTCCTGATGTCACACTGTCTTCTATCTCCCCATGAAGGCCAGGTCCTAAGTGATGGGAAAGTATTCATCCATTTGTGCAACTACATCGAGCCTTGGGAGGACCTGTCTTTGGTGCAGAGGGAAAGTCTGAATCATCACTACCACACGAACTGTGGCTGCCACGTAAGTGGGGGTCTGTTTCTGAGGTCTGGGTGAGGGGCAAAGGGGCTTGAGCCTTGCAGCCTGGTACATTACACATTCATTCCTTCATTCACTTACTTTACTATACTTGAGTTCTGCTATGCATCAGACATTGCACGAAGTCAGAGACATAAAAATAAGTCCACAACCACTGACCTCAAAGAACTTCAATTTTGGCTGGGAAAATGGCCATCATATAAGGCAGACTGAGATAGCATTACTATAGCTACATTTAAAAAATGTTTACTCTTTTCTAGGCCCTATAATAATGAGGTTTTTAATATATTTAACTTAGTCTATGTAAAAAAATTGTGAAGAATTAATATTTCTATGTCAAGGTAAAGAAATTAAAGCTTGGGAAATGAAGTGACTTGCTCGAGGTCAGTGGTAGAGTAGGAGCCACAAAGGCTGATTCCAGAGATAATGTCAGAGGTGCAATCCTGCGCTCAGAAGGTGGAGAGGGAGAATTTAAGGGAAGTTTAGGGATGAAGGCTTCCCTAAGACAGGGATGCTGAGATGGACCTTAAGGATATGTAGGAATCTAAAAGGCAGCAATGAAAAATGATGTCTTCTCACTTTTATGCACGTGACTATGATTGTAGATCACTACCTGCTACATAGTACCCTGTACCATTTCGGCCCCCAATGAGTGCCTGTGGACAGACTGGCTGTTGGAACGAAAGCTGTATGGGTACCAGGCCCAGCATTACGTCTGCATGAAGCATGTTGATGGCACCTGCAGCTGGTACAGAGGCCACCTGCCCCTCAAGAAAGAATTTGTTGACATCATCCAGCCCTAGTACGGACTAGAGACCCTCACATGCTTTTAAGAGTGCTGAAGACCAAGCTAGTCCTTCCTCATGGAGCTCTATCACCACCTGGCCAGTTGCTGCCAGCCAAGTGGACAGCCTGGCTGGCATCACAGCGAGGGTGAAGTGCACATGTTAGAGCTTGTGCCCAAGACCTCAGCCCATGGCCTGTCAAGAGCTGGGGAAGGCAGCTTGACTTTTCTGTTATGCTCTCAGGCCTTCTCTCCTCTCAAATTCCATTAATCTAGTTTATATTTGTTACTGAAAGTTCTGATTCTGGCTTAGTTTGTTTTCAAAAGCCAGAACTGCTCCCTTTCTCTCCACAACAATATGTGTTTCCTTCCCTTAACTGACCTGAAAGAGGAGAAAAGGAATTTTATATACAAAGATGATGTGACCTTGTGATTTGCAGTGCAGAGGGGTGGGGTTGATGGTATTATAAACAGGTTGACTGGCAGGAATGAAATGAACAACTTATTATAGCTGTGTATCTTCTACTTCTCTTGTCTCAGTGGTCCTAATCCTCTGATACCCCTTCATCTCCTTGGGGCACAGAATCAATTGATTTGAAAGCTAGGACAGCCTAACCAATCCCTATACTGCAACCCCCTCAGCACCATTCCCAGGGAAGGTCTAGTCCTGTTAGCACACTTGGTGGATAAAAGGAGGCCTCCTGTATAAGTGTTGATGTTTTCCTCCAGGTTAACTGTCCTGAATGTCCTCGACTGATGACCAGAGGACTTCTCTTCTGTCTCCTTTACATTACTGATGTTCTCATTCTTATTTAATGATGTTTTTTAAAGCCAAAAAGCTTTTCTCTAGTAGAAATGAAATCCCTCCTACATCAACTTTGGACATCTCAAAGAGATGCTCTTTCCATGAGGACAAATTTTAAGACAAATATCTCTACTCTTAAGGGGAAAGGGTGGGGCAGGGAGAGACCACCTGCATTTAATGCAGTTTTTCAGTTGTCTTCCCTCTGGGCATTACAGCCAGAGAATCCAGCTCTGAGCCCAGAGAGCCTTCAATATTCAGCTCAGGCCCTTCACCACTCTGACCTGGGCTCCTTGAGATCTCTGCCACAGGCTCGCTATGGTTTGTTGGCCTCTGCAAGCCTTTCTGACTTTTCCTGAATGGTAAAGCCCTGATATTGGCTTCTAGGCTTTATTCGGGACAAGCACCTAACATTCTAGAGCCTCTTCCTAGGGAAGTTCTGGAAAAGATGATAGAAACAGTTCTTCCCAAAGCAAAAATTGTGTTTATCTCCTCTGTGTGGTCTTCTGGTATAGAGCCACATACAGCATGTGGAAGGCAGCTCTGGACTCAAACAAGATGCTGTGAGTGGAGATTCCCTTAGTAGAAGGGAGTGGACAGGAGAACAAGCAAGCTCTGTGCCAGAGCTCAACACTAAGAAGGCCACTGATAGGTTAAACAGGGTCTTCCAACTGATCACACCAGCCTTGGGCAGAGGGGACAGGAAGAATGACAGGAGTCTGAGCTTTAGATTACCCTAGAGGAAAAGCATTAGCAACAGTCTTCTTACCACCAGCCATGCCATCTCTGCTCCTTCCAACCTCACAGGTTGGACTAAAAGAAGGCTTGGGGTTCACTCATCCTTTCCAGTGTCTGGAGGAAGCTGAGGGAATGAAGTCTGGAATGAAGTCCTGAGAATCACAGATCACAGGAGTGCTTCACACTATTCAGAAGGCTATTATGTAAAACTATGATTTCTATCTTGTGCATACCTACTATATTTCCTGGTCAGCAAAGGTTATGCCCATCAGTAAAGGATTATTATAATTTGCCTAGTGACACATGGCAGAGTCAGAGCTATACCCCAATCATGAGAACTGATTGTTAGCCCACAGACTATTACTCTTATAGACTGAATTTGAAAATGAGGCTGGCAGCTAATATCCAACTATTCCAGGCCCACAAAGGTGCCACAGGAGAGCCCTGGGGGATGGGAAGCTGAAGCCCCAAGCAGAGCCCCATGGTCACCATATGGTGAGGCTTAGTGGGGAACCAACAGAGACTCGGTCACCATTCATCCACCTACCATCTCTTTATGGTTGGGGTAGTACGTCTGCTCAATGAGTGGGAACTTTTCTCCTCCCAATGTCTTGTACATAGCCACCATCTGGGCAAACTGCAAGAGAGAAAAAGGTTTTAGCTCATCTAAGACAATTTCTAGAACAGACACAGCATCAATTCATCAAGAAAATGTTTAGCAGTGCTCTGTAGAGACCTTTGTGATAAACGCATTGGAGATGTATGAGAAGCACACATACAATTTTTGTTCTCAGAGAACGAGAACATATGCTTTAGATGGAGAAGGGAAAGAGAGGGCAAGCTAATATTCATTGAATATCTGTTCAATTTTAATGGTGTTCCACTTGATCCCTAAATCAAAATGGATGAACTAGGTTTAAACAAAAATCACAGAACTAAAAAGAGGCAAAGCTAGGATTGACATTTAGGTCTCTACCTCAAACACCTGCTCCTCAAGCAACAATGAGAGATAAAGCTGGAGAGGTAACATGGGCTAAGGAATGGATGGCAGTAGTTTTCTGTGACTCAGACTGATGTCCCAGAGTTTGAGTAGAAGTGTCACATGTGAAGCAGTCCTTGAGGAGGATGTGGGTGGCCATGGTGTACAGAACACAGACCCAGTATTTCTGGAACTGATTTACTCACCCCAGGACTAAATTCATGAACTCTTCACCTATGAGAAGCTTGAACATTTGTTAAAGGGAAGGGCAGGTACACACACTCGCAGAACAGTGTTGAAAGGCCTTTGACACACATCCAGCATATCCCCACCTTTACAGGAAGAAACTGAGGCCTAGAGAGGTCACTTGCCTAAGGTAACACAATAATGGACTAGAGCCATAGCCAGGACCCCTGTATTCCCAATCTGTAACTATCCTGATTCCATCAAGTAGCTGCTTTTCAGGCTGCAGAAATCGTGCTCTTCCCACAGGAAGCCCAGGACTTTCCAACTCAGGCCACCCTATCCCTTGTGCACAGGGAGCAGGGCAAATCAGCACTGTCTAAGAGCTACTCGGTCAGTTCACGCTCCAAGTCACCGATACCTGGAACTGCTGCAAGGGAAAGTTGTTGGCTCAAACATGCCTTCTATTTTGTACAAAAAGAACAGCTAGGACATATTTCAAAGGCTCAGGTCTTGTTCTCTGCAAGGGATGTCAGCACACAGGCCAGGGAAAGGAGAGGAGAGCAGTAAAGGGTCAGATCCAGACTATTAGGAAACTGGAGTATCTGTTCCTGGCCCGCCTCTTAACTTCTAGGTATCCAAACAAATAATTATTTCCCTCCAGCCCTCTTTTTCCTCCTATATAAAATGAGATTATTACATTTGATCAATTCCTCAAATTTTGTACCACAAAATAACATTCTTTCATTATTTTTTTTCTCCCAAACTCTATTGTCAAACTACAACGTAAGTAGTAATCTGTCATGGCCCTTCTGTGAGTAAAGACGGGCTCTGTTAGGTTTTTTATTTTTTCTTTTTGAGAACAGGGTCACCCTATGTAGCTCAGGGTAGCCTTGAGCTCACTTTGTAATCCAGGCTGGTCTAGAACTCACAACAATACTCTGCCTCCTGAGTGCTGGGATTACAGGCGTATGCCACCATGCCTGGCTCAGTTCTGTTAGTTTTAAAATGCTGAAAAACATTATAATTCCTGGGCTATCCCCATTAGTGATAGATAAGTGGTGGTTCCAAAATCCTAAGGCCTCTGCTAAGACCCAAACTAAGATTCACACATTCTCAATCCTTGAGACTTCACTGTCCAAAAAGAATTAAGAGCAGGCCTCCCATCTCACAGGTAAGGAGAAGCAGAAGTGCAGCTTCCAGAGCCCACCTGGTTCCAGGGCTATCTGGGAGAGCACCAGCTCGCTTCTTGTCTCCTAGTGCATCCTGCACCAGACCCTGCTATCCTCATCGTTCTTCGGTTTGCTTTGACTACCACAACTGGGCCCTCGGACCCTTTGTGCCTCCTGTGGCTCTCCCTGCTACCTCATCTGACCTTTAGGGTCTGCCTGCCCACCTGGGCCTGGCTGGACTGCTGCCCTGCCTGGGCTCCCAGAGCTCTATGCATCCCTGGGGACTGATGCCAGCTCTGCGGACGACCTCTGTCCTGCTGCAGCCCACATGCTGGCACAGCACCAAGCATGTGGGGCCCTATCTTCCCTCATGTGGGTGAATGACACAGACACTACATGGATGCCAGCAAGGCCTACGGCAGACTCCCAGGCCCCTGGGACAGCCAAGACTAAAATGACAGCCAGTTCCCAGGGTCTAGTTGTGTCCCAGGGAGCTCACTCCACCCTCCTCACCTGATCTCCAGCACTCCCTGTCTTTTCAAGGTGCTGGGCTTGGCATCTACCCTCTGCCCCCCTGGAACTTAGATTAACTCACAAGTACACAGTTACCAATTTTAAAAATGTAATATCTGATAAGGGCTATTTCCTCTACCCACAGACAAAAGAATGAATTGGAAGCTGGGGATGCTTTTGCCAACGAATAGGAAGATAAGCTCATTATAATCACTTATTCAGTGAATTAAGGAAGAATTCATGAGTGAAATGGGATTTCAAGATCAGTTTGAATAATAATATATTATCCCTATTGCTTCTGGAGGTTAACAGTTCTGATTTAACCCTGGTTTACTGGTCTCCAAAACCCCAGAAAGCCTGAAAGGAATTTAAATAAATTTGCAGCAGTATGGGTGGTGGCATCTTGCTTTCTCCAGAATGTGGTTTTCATTGACAGGCCATTTCTGCTTCTGTAATCCCAGTGGCCTGCCCTGACCAATTCCAGACATAGCACATGCACTTTGAGACACACTGGTGGTACAGTAGGGCCTTTTCCAGCCCACCAAGGCCTCTCTTCGCATCACAAGCAGCCACAGTAAGAAAGTGAGACATGTGTGCCAAAGTCATCTCAGAGGCACCCTCCCTTCACAGTCTCAAATTTGTCTACTTCCATTAACAGCAGAGAACAACATATAAATTGTCATTTGTGTGCCACCAGTTCAGTGACACTGAGGGGAGAATTCCACATGCAGCCAGGGAACCCTGCTGCCTTCATAGAGCACCAGAAGGCAACATGCTGGGATTGTGAATGGGTGAGAATATGACCCCTCACCAGATCCCAGGTCCCAGGGGAGGCAAGGCCTTAGGCGGGGTTCTGCCTGCTCCTCCCCTCCCTGGCCTCTGTCATAGTTCAAGAGAAGAACACAGGAAACTAACTTGCTTTTAAGAGAACTCAACAACTTGGGAGTTTTAACAATCAGGCTGGCAAAGTGGTGACAGGTATACTAGTGATACAAGGTTGTAGACAAAGAGGTTCAGTCAGAGAGCTGATAAGTAGTGAAATCACCAAAAAAAAAAACCCCAAAAAACCAAAAAACAAAAATAAACAAACAAACAAAGAAAAAAACTTTTGCTAATAGCAGCAACACTCTGTGTGGCTATGAGGGAGCCAAATTCAGATAAGGGGGGGGGGGCTCAGCAAGAAGAAAAGAGGAGGTCCCCAGGAAAGACACTTGTCAAGGTTTCCTTTGTGCCCTCCTGGGACTGGCAGTACACTCTCATCACACAATGCTTTTATCCTGTTTCTGTGAATTTTACAACTCCAGATACCTTATGCCACACACAGGGAAACAGGAACCCAACATCTCTTTAACTTAGCAGCTCTGGGACCCCCTTCCTTCTATTCACTGCTCCTTCTCTACACTGTAGGTAAGAAGGAAAACCAAAAGCTGTCATTAAAGTGTGAAAAGAATTATCAAAAACAGGGGTGCTAGATTTCTTTAGTTAAAAAAAAAAACAAAACACCTCATCCATCTCCCTGAATAATGAATGAGCTTGGGATTCAAAAACTCACATTTAGCCAACAATGTTAGGAAGCTTGCCAATCTAGAGTATGTGATATCTGAAACCTTATTTTTGAAAATCAAGATGAAGAGATGTGATTAGGGTCAAGCATTTCCTTCTGAGAGGGCCAACCTGGAGCAGCAGAGCCAGCAGGGAGCTGGATCCCTTCAGCGGCCTAAGGGAGGCCAGAGGGTCCCAGTAGCAGTCACAGATTGCTTTGCATCCTAGCCACACCCCTTCATTCCTTCCTCTGTCTACAAGTTCTCATTGCTCTTCCAGATTTCCAGACTGGCTGAGAAACAAGAAACCACACCAGTGTCTTGCACTGTAACCCAGAGTATGTGAGAGGCATTGTGATCTAGAGAAATTTAGGCTCTATAATTTTGTCAAATTATTTAGTCTTCTTTACTTTTATTTCTCTGTAAAAAAAAATGAAAATAATAATAGCTTTCTTAAAAGGTTATCATGAGGGTGAAATGATATAAATGTGGGAAAATCTCAAAGTGTACACACATCAGTAAGTAGGTTTGCTCCTTACCTTGTCTCTTTAATTTTCATATCTCCACATGATGAGGTGAGATGAATGATCTCAAGGGACACTTCCATCTCATCTAAGTGTTTGATATATATGTACTATAGGTAGATAGGCTTCATTTGGTGTTGAATGAAGAGTTCCAACTTGATGGAACTCTGCCACTAACAGCCCTCAGAGGTTAGACTGTCCTCTCAGTTCCCACTGGCTATAGGCATTTCCAAGAATTAAGACCTTCATTTCAGAGGCAAGAATCCAATAGCCAATGGTCAAGGGCAGGGCCTACAGAATTATAAGGACTTCTTCATAGAATATTTGTGTAACTTTGTTGAGAGGCCAAAGATTCTGCTCTGCAGCAAATGTACCAACCTGAGACATGTAGTGACATGGCAACATGCTGCTGTGGCAGGCCACTCTGTCCTATGTTCCAGCCAAGGGTTCCTCACAACCTCTCAGCTGGTGCCAATCAGTTGAGCACCAGTGGTCCCTACCAGGGGGCTGGGAATGCAGGTCTGGGGTCCACTGTTTCCTGTGAAGGAGCCCTCACTCACCACCCAAGGCTTGTCACAGAAGTTGTAAATGGATTCCAGGGAGTTGATACTGGGGAGACCTGCATACTGCATGCCAATGATCAGGTGGCGGAAATCCTCGTTCTCTGCCATGCCAAATGCATGCTGCCGGATGAGCACAAAGTCTGGGCGGAAGGACCTGATAAAAATACAGAGGCAGAGTTTCCATCAGTCACAGCTCAGGTTGCACACTACTTTGTCTCCCATTCCCAAAGCTTTGACAGAGAGATGTCAGGGACCCTCACTTTATTATTACTGTCCTTTCTGACTATGATTGATATCAAGCATTATAGTACCTTCCAAAGAAAATCTGAGGAACATATTTTTGAAATTCCCCTCCTCTGTGCCAAGCCTTACACTTTTCTAAATACAAATATCCTTAAGTGGGAAGAAATACTTTTAGACTCTTACATCCTGTATAAAAAGATGTCTCCTGAAAAACCTGAACACCATGTGACTCCAGAGTTGGTGCTCAAAGCAGGCCTAGGAGACTTTGAAGACAGAATGGGAGGCTGTCTTTACCACACTGCCTTGAGGTTTCTGATCCGTGTCCTGTTCCAACTCCTTAAAGCTGTTCCTTAAAATAGGCAATGCTCTCATCAAGCCCCTAGAGAGCATGGGGCCAGGCTGGCTGAGAGCAGATGCCAGACCTCCCAACGTTATTCTTCCAAAGCGGACGCTAGGGAGGGGTGCAATTATTTTTCGAAGAACTGAGGTTGAGCAATGGCTGCAGGAAGCACAAGTACAGAATGTTCCCATGCATGGGAAAGCTCCCCCATCTCACATCCAGCCAGCAAAGCTCCTGGTTGCAGCTGCTTCACGGAGCCAGGGCTCATCTTTGTGCTTGTTGTGCCTTAGCTTCAGAGGCCTTCACAGAGAGGCAGTTTATTGCAGCTTACCCCCAGGTTCCAAGGCTCAGAATTTTCACATCTTGTACAGTGACTTACCTGGTTCTCTACTGAGGGAAACTATCCAACCCCTATACAGGCCCAGGGATCAGGTCATTAAAATTATACTTACTAGTACATATTAATCATACAAAATCATAGGTTTCGCTGTGAGTTTCCACACATGCATAGAATGTGAACTGGAGACAAGGCTTTTATAGTGAGGGTTAATGGAACTCTCCTTAGTTTCTCAAGGATTAGAATCATGATACCTGTTTGGGCTGCTCTGACTTTTTCTAGGCATTTCTTGTTACTCTCTTGATCATATTAGATGCTGGAAGTCTCTAGCAGCATGACTGATATCAAATTCAAGCCTCATATCCCAGTATAGGAATGGAGCTCTAGATATGTAGCCAGCCCCTGAGTTTTTGCATTTGGTACCTTCTGGCACCCTGCTACTAAGTTTTTTGTCACCACCTGCCATGTGCCTGTGCTTCCAACACATAATTAAAGGAACCTGTTTATTCTCTCCCTCCCTAATTTTTTCTTTAGTCCTTAGAATAGATAATCTCACACTTCTTATTGGTAGGTCACAGATATACCCTGGCCTTTCCTGCCCCTGACCCAGATCCTCTTGGACACTGGAATCCTTAGGGTCAGGGTACTATAGATTGAAGCAGGTGAAGTAGACCTGCCTCCAGGAACATGAGTGAGCTCCTGAGAACAACACTATACAGACCATTTCCCCCATCTGGAGTTCCCATTATCTCCTTAAAAAAAAAAAACTTGTGTGTATAACAATATCCCAATTATAAGGCACCAATACACCACCTGGCATTGAAGTACCCAATAACTGCCAGTTCTTTTCTACTCAGAAAATCTAGTATAACCTTAGGTTTTCCTTTCAGACTTAGAAGTTCCTGGGAATGAAGGCTATCAGAAGAATACTAGGATGAGAGGCAAAAGAACTCACATAGAACTCAGGGTTCTGTCAACAAGCCACCAGGTAAATCTGTGAAATGAAAAGGTTGGACTAGATGAGATGTTTCCAAACTTTTCAAAAAGACATAGAACCTTATTTTCTGGAGGATATATATGGAGAGAAAAAAGTACAGACCCATGCTGACTGAGAGGGTGGGAGACCAGAGTCTCAGGACTCTAAGTGAACCCCAATTCCTTGCAACTTAATATTGCATTCTCAACCATTGGGCTAAGAGTTCTTCGAAGGTAGGAGCTCTGCCTTCCCTATCATTTTCATGTAACACACACCATTATGTTCTGAACACCATATGCAAAGTGGTGTTATTTTGCTGTGACATAACTTTAAAACCAGCTTTTCAGGCTAGAGGGGGAGACTGTGATGGTGACCTCAAGGCTCATACCGGACAACTTTTGTGCCATTCCGAAGCAGCTGCATATCCACAGCATAGGTCCCGTCTGCATGGGCCACCAGGTTAAGCTCTGAAAATTCCGCCTAGAAAAGAACAGGAAGTTCAGTCCATAGTCTTGACTTTGCCAAATCCCCACAGCAGCAGCCCCACCACTAAACCCCTACCATTTAAAAATATTTTCACATACCAGTGGCATCTAATTCTCGTAGAAACCCTACGAGGCAGGTGGGACACAGACAATTATCCCTGTTTGTCTATTTTTTGAGACAAAGTCTTTCTATAGTTCAGCCTGGCCTACACTCATGATATATGTTGCCCAGGCTGGCCTCAAACTCCAGGCAATGCTTCTGCCTCAGCCACCCAAGTGCTGGGATTGCAGATATGCACTGCCACACCTAACTGATGGTCCCCATTTACCAAAGGAGAAAACTGTACCTCAGAACAGTTAAGTAACTTTTCTGGACAGACAAAATTTACCATTGGCAGACACAGGAATAAAACTCAGGTAGCATCTTTGTGCTGCCTTTCCTAAGGATGTGAACCAGTATGAATGTCCTCTTCTTTAATTTTAAGATAAAAACACTAGGTTTAGCTTAGGTAATTGGACTTCAGTTCTGCTCTGCTCCAAGTAGCTTTAGAACATGTCAGCAGAATTACTTGGCCTGCCTGGGTTTTAGCTTTCTCACTTTATAAAATAGGAATAATTTGATCAACTCTGTCTAACTAATATATTGTTTTAAGAACTGAATGTGAAAGCTATGCTTGGGGAAGCATTCCTGCAATCCCTGTACTCAGGAGGGTGTTGCAGGAAGATCACCACAAGTTTGAGACTAGATGAGTTCAAAGCTAACATGACCTACATTCTGAGACCCTGTCCCCCAAAATAAAATATAACACATAATAATGATTAGGAAAATATTCTGTGAATCATAACATACTGTATAATGAATTAGGAGTAACTTCTATTAAGGAAAAAAGTACACATTATTTAAACTGGACATCACCTCTCCTAAACGGACCTACACTATTAATCATGAATTGATGGACCAAGGAAAGTAAAGAAGAAATTTTCCAGAACTTCACTGTGTACATACACAGGGAGTGCTTTCTAAGCCCAAATGGCATCTACAAATGCACCCACCAGGTGTGGCAGTGAGGACATCCTAACTCAGCCATTCCTCTACGGTCTTCCTCAGGGTAGCCCTACACTGCAGCAGGGGCCTAAGAGCTACACTGCTCACTCCTGTACCAACATGAGAACTGTTAAAAGTCATAAAGAAAATGAAAAGCAGTGATCTCTAGGGCCATGACTTGTAGAGAAAAAAAAAGCCACAGGGAAAGGGTGGAGGGAGGTCATGGTGAGCCCAGAAGGTAGAGGACACTGCACCCCACACAGCAAAACTAGATGGTCCACTCTCGGGTGCCAGAGGGTGTGGCAATGGATGACGCAGATACAACCTGAGGCTCCAGGCTGCTTACCTGTTCCACTTTAATATCATAATCTCCAAGGACTTTCTTGCCCCGAAAGCACTTGGCCCTGGAGAAAGGGAAAAAACCCATACAAATTAATTTCATACAAGTATTTGAAGTGAAACCCTCTTATGAAGAAGAGGATGACTACAGACAGAATCCCAGTGTGAGAGTCAAGAGAGGGGTTCTCACACTCACTCTGTGATGACCATATCCTAAGACACCAAGAAAGACAAGTCTTCTCTTCTAACCTCAACTTGTCCACCTGAAAAAAATATCAAGTGTACTTTCTCACTCAGCCTTTGTGATTTTATGGTAAGATCCCTAGTGTTTAGCTACCAAAAGTGTCTTGAAGTGGGAACTTCTTCAGTGTTATTCTTGGTAAGACTAGGTCAATATTATACCTTTCTATGGTTTCCTTATTTTTTGACCCTATATTTCACCCTGATTTTCTAGCTGCTTTCCATCCTTGGATTTTTAGTTTTTAAAATGTTGATATTAATACCTTACCACTTTATGCTAACACAAGGAGAAGGAAGAAACTGAAGAAAACCACTACCATTGAATGTAAAACCCATCCTGTTTCTGAGCAATCACAAAAACTAGTCACACTGAGCTACACAGCACACAATGCCCTCACAGTTTGTCATGGACCTAGAAGAACCATGCACTAACACTAATGACATCATGATACCTGGTAAGCAGTCTATGTTTATGTCTATATTTAAATTCACTCTTACTTTGTCTGTATCAAATTCCCCTCATTCATCTCTGCACACTTAGGCTGCTTCATTACCTATAAAAAGGGCCTTTCTACTACACTGAACCTCTCCAGTACTTAAAATGTCATTCTTTTGTTTCTTTTCTCTCTTTTTTTTTTTTTTTTTCAGAACCAGGGACTGAACTCAGACCCTTGTGCTTGTCAGGGAAGTGCTTATTCCACTGAGCCATCTCCCCAGCCCCCCTTAAAATTTCTAACTGGCATATTTTCCTAGGTTTTCTCAGCATCTATTTCCAAATAAATGAATAAACCTGTTGCTTTAAAGGACATTTAATTATCATGACAGCTGAGGTGATGGGAAGATAGGTCTTCATTTTAGACACAAAGAAGCAAGGACTCAGGAGGAAATGGCATAGCAAAGCCATTCAGCAAGTTAGTGACAGAGCCAGTATCAAGCCCACACTCTAAGATTCTGAGTCTAGTGCCTAGTGCCCGCCACATGGCATTGTCTCCCTCTACTGATTCTTTCCCACACTACAAAAACTGACTTGCCACGTGTGATGCACTGAAGTTCTTGCTATTTTCCTTCTCCCAGTAAGAAAGAACTTAATGATGTCAAGCATACTAATCATCCCACTACAAATACTTCCTACTCTGGTTCCTGTCCACTTATACAGGACTAGGCCAGGCTATTTCCTTTACTCTCTTGATTCTGGAACAGTCCATTTTAGGAAGTTGTCATTTACCCTATCCAAGTCCCTAACTGTTCAGAAATTGTTCCTCTGAGGCACTCAGCCATCCTAGAGCTGGATCACTGAAGTCCATCCCCCCACCTCTGCCCCAACTCCTCACACATCAACTTGCTTCCAGGACTCTAATCAACATTCGCAGCTCAGCAAGCCCCTCAGGCAGGCAGTCTGTAGCATATGCCATCCCATCTATGCATGGCACTATTGCTGATCTACACATCTTGGACTCTGTGGGTTTTTGTCCATGATTATGAAAAGGGGGAGCTGAATTAAAGGACACATGAGGTTGCTTTCTTTTTTCGGTTGAGGTATATCTATGCTGCTATCAGAAATAATACTTCCACTTATCATTCTGTCTCAAAATAACTTTCTTCTGGGAGATAAGTCTCAGTGATATTAACAATAACCTCTCATTCTGCACAAAGCCTTGCATTTTCAAAACACAGTCCTTGACTTGTTTCTTACAACTCTGTGAAGGAAATAAGAGAAATAGTCTGTCCATTTGACTTGTAGGAAAACTGAAGCCTGTTCTGGGTAAATAATATGCCCAAATCACAGAAAAGTCTAAAGGATGAAAGCCCAGAACAAAAGGTTTACATCTAGGTGCTCACATGCTGCCAGCTTTTCTAACTCATTCACTTATTTTGTGGGCTTTGAACAACACCAACTCTGAAGTATATTTATAGATCCTGGCTGTGTTTATCTGCCACTTCCTGCACCTGCCCACTGACCAAGTTGGCTAATGAAGCTGTTTTCATGCCCTCCCTCTACCCCCACCTCTCTAGCTATCCTAATGCTTTTTCCTTAAGGGAATTCATCCTTGGAATCTTAGTTTGTGTTTCCTGGCCCAGGGTCACTGACCTCCCTTGGCAGAGCCACAGTGTCAGTTTGAAGGAGCCAAGATGGTGGGCAGGTGGGATGCAGGGCCCTCTTCTGGAGAATGAACACATTCTCACAGCTCCTGGCTCTTGGACATTTTAACTCCAGGTATTTTCATGCTAGCAAATAACAGAACTACTTCCTGACACTACGAAAGCACTCATAGGAGGCAGTATGCTGGGATTCAGACATAGGCTTTGGCATTTCAGTCTAGGCTGTGAATCTTAACTATAGCCTTGCCTGGCAAGAGGCATGTAATGAGAAAAAAAAAGTACATCATAAAGGTAAATTAATTAATTGGTCTTAAAAACTACATTAAAGAATAAAATAAAAATAAGTTTCTCTTTTGCTAATCCACTTATCACATATCCTTCCCATCATATCATCATTTGCAAGCATCTCCTACCAGCAGGGGAAAACATGTGGACTTAACTGTATGCATAGCTACTTGTGCACATGAGTGTGTCATCATATTAGGAGAACTTTTTTGAAAATATTAATTGGGTGTTTTTGCACTTAAAATATGTCTTAGTGATTTGCTTTCAGAACACACCAATGGGCCTCTTTTTATGAGCTGCATGAAATTCCCTTTGAAGGGCATATAGTAGTTAGCCAATATTTATTGGCCAGCATTTTGAGTTCCAGGTTCTTGTTTCTGCAATTATACACAGTGCTATCATGGCTTACATTTTAAAATATATCCATAGGATAAGCAACTTATTAGAGTCGCTGGTATAAGGAAAAGATACTCCACAAGTGACGCCTGGCCACCAGTAACTGTCACGGTCATTATGCATGTCCACAACACACTAGAACTTTGTGCGATATCCTATCCTCAAACTGTTAGAAGTGCTGGTCATTTAC